ACCTTATCTGGTTTAAAGTAATACCTGCAGACTATTCTGCTCAACACAAATACATACACCGAAAGAGCCTAACTTTCAGTGCTCGTTTTTGTCCAACTGCCAAAATCTAGGTAGCAGAAGCTCTGAGTTGATAAAAATGTTTTTAGTAATGAGGAGTGTTTACTTGCAGATATCATTGGTTTGTCTGGTCTCATCACCCCTTCCCTGGATGAGATGATCTATGTAGCCAAAGAGATGGAGAGACTGCAAATTACAACACCACTGCTGATTGGAGGAGCCACCACATCAAAGTAACACACACACAGACACAAATCTGCGACAAAAATATACCAATGCCTGATACAGTATACTGATCAACTAACAGGAATATATGACAATAAATGACAGGTAACAGATGCTCTCAGTAATTTGTGCATATGTATTACTGTTGAACACATAGTATTTTGCATTTTGTACACAACTACAATGGAGACCAAGAAATGCTATTTATATGATGCAGCGAACATTTGCACTGAGAATGTGCAGAGGAAAAACAAGTTGCAGTATACAGGTGGACCTCTAGGTCTGAGAAGTGAGGCCTTAACCTTAAACCTGCATTCTTTCTAAAGGCCAGCAGGGGGCAGCTCCATTGGTCGCAAAAAGAAGCCTTGCATTTAATGTAATGACAAAATGCATACTTTCTTGCATACTGGATTTATTAGCTCAGTAACCAGGTTACTTTGGGTTTCAAGTCTTCAAGTCTTCCATACAGCATGATGTTCATTTAGTAAATTATGGTCCCATTTAGTTTAAAAACTAAACCGTAGCTTAATGGTTTCTTTCTTGCAGGGTTTGCTTTAGGGCATGTCTACCCTGTGATTGACAAGTTACTCTCACTGAGGTTATCCAGTGCAATGCACCAAACTGTCAAACCAGGGCTGCGCGATATGAGCTCAAAATAAAACCCCATCCAATTTACAATTTTAATTGATTTTAGTTTTCTTAAAAAAAACAAAAGACACCAGGGAATGGTGACATCTTTGGCAAGGTGAAACCCCACTGAATCTGTAATGTCTTATCATCTATCATAAAAAGATTCTACACGTTCTGTGTAGATGAGTGAAGTGAGTGGATTAGGGTTGGGACTTGACTTGACTTGGCTTGGGAATCGTTTACAGTAATTTTAATCGATCGATTAATTGCACAGCTCTATGTCAAACTGGGCAGTGCTGATCAAATATGATTAGGATTCTGTTACTGTGTTGCTTACTTCTCTCCTCAAATCTTTTCGCAAACATATTTTAGTGTAATGTTTATCTGAAATGCGAGTATGTGTGTGACCAGGCCATTGTTTCGTGATACTTTTGAATTGTATTGAAACCAAGCGCAACCATTTAGAGCAGCTCAACTCACAGTTCGTCTCCTCTGCTGACTGCAAAAAACAAACATAGCAGTGACCATAATGACAAACTCTAGGCTTCACAGCGGTACTCCACGAACCAATGGGTGACAAGGTTCACACTTCTTGCTGGTTGGTTGGGGCGCCTATTATGGTTGAAGGTAGCGTGAAGCACTTGCGATGTGCCATCCTGATGACATCCCACACTTTCATATGAAAAGAAGCAGCTTGTGATGATGTGCATCACAGGATGCATTTACTGGTCTGTAACAAAGAAAGGCCCACAAAGAATGCTGAGTTGTGCTTTAATGATGCTTTGGATCAGGACGGTTGAACCATTCAGTAAGGTAACAGATGAACTTTTAGGTTAAGAACAACATGGGACGCATGGAGAACTGAAGGGAACATTGTTGGGGGACTTTTGGGCACTGCACAGGGTGCGGAGTGTGACGCATATAGACAGCGTGGTACCTTGTAACCCATATCAAACATAATTATGTGTAACTGTAATTGAGTGTTAACGGATTGTGGGGTGACATGCCTGCAGTGAATGGTCGCCAGCGGGAGGGGCCGCAGTACGACTTTTGCTGAACAGAATTATAAAACATCAGCCGACAGGGTTTTCGCAGTTTGCACACACTCAAGGTGTGGCAGCTCACAAACGTGAGGTGGTATTACACCTATATTCATGAGTAATTCATTTTTTGTCATTTAAGTATGTAAGTCACATACCTGATAAGCCTTGTTACGTAATATCATCTGATTCGCATTTGTAATTGTAAAAAACCATTAAAGGGGGGACTGGACTATGTGGTGGAAAATATTAGTACATTATTAATAGTATAGTTGAAACATTAAGAACAATTTCCTGTTCTGAAAACACTGAGTTTGTCTTCTTTTTTTTTTTCCAACTTTGTTTATTGGGTTTTGCAGATGTATACAATTGTATTAAAACATTTGCAGAGAATTAAGGATACATTTTTTCTTTTTAGGACAACAATCAAACAAGAAAGTGGTCATTGAGATATTGTTGCATACCCGAACAACTTATATAAAACTAGAACAGCCACAATGAAAATAATTAAATAAATTAAAAAAAACAATAAATAGAAATAATAGGACTAGGACGGAAATAGACAATTGAAAAAGAATGTGTACAAAACAAATCAGAGACAAAAAAAAAAAAAAAAAAACAGGCACATCAGGTCAGGTAATAGTAAACTGCAATAGACATAGCAACAGACATCCCAAGTCAGAGCAGTGGCATGTGACCCTCATCACAAAAAACTTTTTCTATCTCTCTAGCTGCTACAGTCGCATCAGACAGGTGGTGAGTGGAAGATCTGTCCCTCTTAACGAATTGAAGGAATGGGCCCCATAATTTCCCAAATTACTGGAGCAGCCCAGATAAAGACAGTCTAATCTTTCTCCAATTTAAGAAAATAAAGGGCATCTCTAATCCAGCGGCGTGACAGGGTGGGTATTGTTGATTTCCAATTCAATTACAATTAATCTTCTGGCTAGCAAAGCAAGGTAGCAAAAGCAAGTACATCCTTTTTGGACTTAGTGAGGGAAGGGGAAGGGGGCGCAACCCCAAATATTGCACTCAAAGCATTCGGTATTATTTTTTCCCCAACTACCTCTGACAAGGTATTAAAAATCTCAGTCCAATAATTATATAAAGATGGACAATGCCAGAACATGTGTATAAGGTTTGCAGGAGATTGCTGACACCTATCACAAGTTGGATCTACACCATCATAAATCTTAGCCAGCCGAGCCTTAGTGTAATAAGTACGGTGTACAACTTTACACTGAATAAGACTGTGTCTCGCGCAAATAGAAGATTTATGCCCGTTTTCAGAATCCTGTCCAGACTGGACCACCCCCAGGTCTCCTCCTCCCAGAGTACTTTATTAAGCTTAAGGGCTCTGAACGTAAAAGATTAATTTGATTATAGATATGTGAGACAGAGCCTTTAAGAGTAGGGATTGGCGTCAGGAAACCATCCAAAACTGAGCTAGAAGGTAAATTAGGAAAGGTGGGAAATGTGTCATGAACAAAACTGCGGACTTGTAAATATCTAAAGAAATGCTGCTTTGGAAGAGAGA